GCCCTTGCTCGCAGGTGTCTGCAGCTGATAAAACTTCCTATCTGGTTTTGGGTATAATGCTGCTTTACCTTTCCAAGCTAGGTAGATGATTTCTTCTTTCCTGCTTGTGCTTTGTCATTATGATTTACTCCTTTGTTCAAAGTCTGGATTTAAGCACACGCAAGAACATTTGAGTGGAAGCACTGAAACATTTGCTGACGAGGTAACTGTATCTTTTATGATATAGATCAAATCCTCAGTTGGTTTAATCCAGCATTATGTCTCTACTATATCTTGTAGTGCCATGTAGGGGATAATCTGCTTCCCAGCCTGACAGCCAGCTGCCATCCAGCATGCATCGTTTTCTCTAGTATCTAATTTTTAGCAGCCACTTTCAGAGCGACCTATCGACTGTCTTGTTGCCATGAGGCCAACACTCCTCCTACTCCTTGAAACTCCCAAGTCTGGTCTTGGCTCCTGCCCCACTTAAAGCTTTAGAGCCGGCGACTGTGTAACACAGACTGATGAAGAAGGGCCTCAGCAGTGGGGAGGCCATGCCCTGCTCCTCTCAAGGAAGGGCTTCTTCAGGGGGCAGGAGACTCAAAGTCACTCCCTCTGCTTACACTTTTGCACCGGTTTGGTGAACATCACTATTTTGCCCGCATCCTGTGCTGAGCCTCATTCAGCTGCACTCCCGAGATGTGCGGATCCCAATCCCCACAGCAGAGGGGTCGAGGATCCCTGATCTCGCGTGGCCTGAGAGGGAGCGCTCACGCTGAGGCGATCCCGCCCGAGGACACTCTCAAGCTAGCACTCATGTTAGCTCTGATTTCATGCCAGGTGTCAGACATGTCCCAGTAGCTCCTTCTGACACTTCTCAGCCAACTGAGACTTTCAACACCCAATCTGGTTTGTGAATTCCTCTCCCGAAGGTAGGAGTTACAGTTACAGCCACACTAATTATTGCTGAACCTAAATCTCTCTATGCTGATGGAGATCTTGGTCCTTTTACCTTTAAATCCTCCCTCTTCTGAATGAAGCATTCTGGCAGCTTCCATCACACAATGCCAGGAATCTTGAAAAGGACGTCACGTATCTAGCTTTCTCCAGTTGTCAGTGTGTCACTCTGGACCAGATTTTGGGTTCTGACAACTGTAAAATATAGAGGTGTAGGTGGTTTTTAAAGTGTCTTTAGCTAAACACGGAGATTTATTTATAGTCATGGCTTAAAAGCAGAATCAATCAATGCAGCACTCACTTTTTTTTTTTAACCTAAAGACATGCATGAAAAACACATTAATAAAACTATGTCATTAGTTATATGGTTGCTGACCTTTCATTATCAGATAATGATTTTCTTCCTTTGCAAAAGGTAATGGTTCTAAACAGATGAATGTATATAAAATTGCAGGCCTGAAAGTGCTTGGTCTCTCCCACGCCTTTTGGGGTGCTTTATCTCCAAGGCTACTGCACCATAAGGTCAGAGTTGCCCAGCACAGCACGGGAGGACTGAGCAGTGTGCAGATGTTGCCCAGCACAGCCAGCAGCCAGATTTGCACCTTGCAAAAGGGTTGTGGGAGATGCTCTGATAGTACAAACTCCATCCTGAGCCGATGTTGGACTTCTTGGAAAGAGACTGTCTTTGCTGGCAGATCCTTTGCTTTCAGCACAGAATGCTGCAGGTGGAAGGGAAGCAACCAGGACTTCTTCTGTAAGGGCCTCAGAGCAAAGGCACTTTCAGCAGGGTCATTTTTTTTTTTTCCTCAAGTTCAGTTCTGAAAAGCCAGCTTTCAAACATGATTCCTTTCTAGCTTGACTCTGTTTTTAACTTCTACTTCCAGGTATTTAACAAACTGATGACAGATGGTCAAGCTGACTCACATCTCCTTCAGCATAATACATCTTCTCTGAAACGCAAGCGTTCTCATTGTCCATACGTATGCACCTACCACCCTTACCACCTTTTAGCAGCAGTGTTTGTCAGAGCCTCTAGTTTTCAAATGCACAAGGAACACTGTCATTCTACTACGATTTACCTCTCATATGCACATGCTGTGTAACAGCACTGTGATTTCAATTCTTGATCACCCTTAACAGGAGCTATCCCATAGCAGGCACCTGGCATTCTCTAAGGCACATCATCTTACCGTTATAACAGTAGAAAAATAAGTTTTGCTGGTAAAATTCTTCACATTTAGGAAGATGACATCAAAGATACACCCCTCTCCAGTGCTCTGAAAGCCGCCAGAATGTGGCAATAGTATGGGCCCCAACAAGCAGCTGCACAGCTGTGACTCTACGTGTAACTCCTCCTGTCTCTGTACATCGTGTGTCCCTCCTCTCAGTTAAGTGAATATTCTGCTTACAGCTGTGAGCCTGAAAAGAAAATACACCAGCAATCACACAATCACCCCAAAACCAACCCTGCACTCCTGCTGCAACTCCTTACCCCATCCTTGCAGTTGAAAATTCAAAAATCTCCCCTAGACTGTAACCACACCTCTTACTGTTGGGCTTTATTGAGATCAAGGGCTGAAGTGCTGACAGGCAGGCCACGGGTTTCCGAAGACAGACACTGGGAAACCACACTGAGGAATCTCATGGGAAACCTGGCCTCTTAAACAAGCCCTTGCTTCCAACCACACCCCAAAAAATCTCACCTTCTGTTGCCTGTGTTCATTTTCACACATTTGGCTGCTGCAAACTGTGTCATATTAAACTCAGACACCTTCTCTCTCACCAGCTGTGTATGCATCCCTGCCCTTCACCGCTGTACACACGTGCACCAACGTGTACAATAAACTGCTTCCAACTAGGAACTCCTAAAAACTGACAGCTTCTAAGGAGGAGGTTAAGAACACGGCGTACGTGTTTTGATCACTGATAAGGAGCTCGTTTGCTCATTAACATTGCCAGTCATGCCTGTATACGTGCTCTGGGTGGCTTCAGGTAGGATGGTCATCTTTACAGACACCGTGGATGTGACTCTGGGTCCTTTCTCATGCTGCTGTGCGGGGGTTATACCGGCGAGCAGACTGAGCCCTCGGTGGCACCTTCGGGCGCTGTGCCTGAACCGACGCTTGCTTTGGTGAAGTCACCGATGGAGCTCCAGCTCTGCCGGAGTACTCTGAGGGCACGGTCTGCTCGGGGGCCCGTGACACAGTTTCTGCTCCAGCCCCTTACAGGCTTGCCCTCTGCAGAGTTGCACTGTCCTCCTCAGCTGGCAATGAAGTCTCACTGGAAGAGCTGCTGCGTAAGTAACTCCTGCAGGCTCGACGACTTCTCACCTGCCTTCAAAGTTCTGGTACTTTTGTCAGCCCCCTTGGAACATTTACTGGATTAAAAATAAACAAAACAAGCAAAAAAAAAAAAAGCTATCAGTTTACCAGCTTTAGAAATAGTTTTTATGATTGCCTGGAAATCCCACTTAAGACTACGCACTCAACTGGCACGTCCCCCACGCCCCCAGCCACCCACCCTCCCCCCCGAGCCGCCGCCCGGCTGCCAGTTCCAGCCCTGCGAGGGGGGCGGAGGGGAGGGTTCCTCCTCTCCCCCTGTGCCCCCGGCAGAGGGGCCGGGGGCTTTCCTGGGCCGGGCTGCTCTCCAGAAAGACCGGCTCCTACCCGATCCTGTCCCCAGCCCCCCAGCACACAGCCAGGTACTGGGCTGGGACAGTTTTGGGGCTGCGAGGAGAGGGGGGCTGCCCCCAGGGGCAGGAACTAGCTGCGTCCCGCCTAACTGGAGGAAAACTTAAGTTCTGAAAGCCAAGTGTGAAGTAGCCAAATGCTGCCTTGCTCGGTATCTTGCCTGTTAAAGCTTGACAACTTTTGCAGGAGCTGCTTAAGAAATTTTAATTTAGCCCCCTCCCAAGCCAGTGCCCGAGCAGCCTTTTACTGCATTTCTGCACAGCTCTAACTTCAAACTTAGAGAGCAGGTTGAGGAAAGAAGGGCAGACAAATACACTGCAGTGCTTTCTTGTCATCATAAATATCTTTATTGTGAAAAATATCATAAAATAATTCCCACCATTCTAGAAAAAACAGTTCTTGCTTTTTAGATTTATGATCTTATATAAAGACATTTTATAATTTGAAACATTTGATAAATCTCTGGCTAGCTTTATTTATCCTTCTTAAAACACAAAACTGATACTTTGAGATTTGCTGAGGGCAAAAAAAAAATTACTCTCCCATTTATTTTGTTATTATTTTATGGATAAAAGTGTGTATTACAGAGCAAACAAACAATACCTTACAATAAGGCACTTTTAAATACAACTAACCTGCTATGCTATACTGGCTGACTTCCAGCAAAGCTCCTACAAATCACAGCCCTAAACAGAAGAATAATTCTTATTCCACACACTGGTCTGAAAACTGAAACGAAAACAAGCTTTATTTTTTAAAAAAAAGTTTAAGACGACACCTTTTCAGCATATGTCACAAGTTTAAGCTCTTAAATTTATAATTCACTTTGTGGTTTAATACTGATTTATTAATACATCAGTATTAAGCATGTATCGAGTAAAATATGCTCCTCCCACCTTCATTTTAAAACAAGTTGGAAATTAGTTTATTAAAACTAAAAGAGAGAATCCAACAGAGAAAGTTTGCACCTACATATAGCCAATTATTGTCATGATGCTTCATGCACATCTCGGGGTTTACAAGCTACCAATACATTTATTTCAATGTTCAGTTTTTGAACATTATTGCACTACAGACACCCACTAATAAATAAAAAGGTGGATTCAGCTTCCTTGTACGTTACTTGCACCATTAACACTCAGTGTGGAACCAGCACTTCATTTTCTGAAGTCACATCAGGAAATGCATCACCCTATCTGGAGATCCTCAAAACGTCAATGCTTTCACACAAAGTTGTCTTTCTGTATTTTCAGAAGTACCTCAGAGCCAAAAGCCAGCATCTGCTCCCTTAACAGCAGCACCGGAGCGATAACACTTCTTGTAATCAGCAGCTGCTTGATACCAGAAAGCCTTTTTCTCCATTGTCATTTTTATTGTTTGTTTTCAAGACACTGTCTTCCACAGAAGGCATCTATGCAGGGCATTCACACATTAATCATATTCCTTCTTCTCCTGACTACATTCAAGCCTTTTTTTTTTTTTTTTTTTTAAATATGTAATTTTCCCTTTCCCATTCATTCTCAAAGTAAACACAATCCTTTTTGTTCCTGACCACCTCCAGTCTACAGCAGAACTGTCCTTAGAGAAACAAATCCGTACTAGTCTAACATCAGGAGCCTTGTATGAATAATTTACTTACGAGGGACTGTCTTATTCCTTCCCTAAAAGAAAAGAATTTAAGACCAGGAAACAATTTCCTTGGCTATAGCTTTTAAAACAGAGAAGGGAGAGGGTTGAGAGCAAAAAAGCTGAACGAGGGTAGTCCTTTAAGAGGTGGATCCTTTCTAGCACTTCCCTCGCACACAAACAGCTCTCTGCGGCGTTTATAATGACTTCCCGAAAATGCACACACACTCCTGTACACACCAAATACGACACGTTGCCCACGCTGGGCATGTCACAGCAATTTAAACCCAGCCCCCCCTGTGGTGCACAAGGCGATGGGACAGTGTTTCGACAGAGCCGCGACTCGCACGCGAACAGGTGCAAGGGGGGCTCCGTGGGGCAGCGCCCCGCGCCCGGCCCTCGCCCAGCCCTGGGGGACAGCGGGCCGACGGCAACCCAGAACGGTAAAGCCAGCAGCCTTCTACTTACTGCGAGCAAAAAAAAAAAAGCACACGCGCAGAGAGCCGGCTGCACCGGCTGCTACCAGCGGGGTAACCGGTTCCTGAGTGCGCGGAGGGTCCCTGTGCCTGAGCCCTGGAGGTCCTACGGGAACCACGGGAGCCTGGAACGGCGTAAACAGCGTCCTGAGCATCTTCTACAGAGGTTAAACAAGAAGCCTTCCGACAGGTGAAAGCAGAAGGTGAACTTCGAGAAAGCCATTCAGCTTGGAAAACATCCGACCCCGGAGTTTAAGGGGCTGCTGGGGTGTTTTTATACCCTAAACTGTTAGACATCACTACATACGCTCTTCAGCTCGAAGATAAATTTTGGCTGAACAAACACTGACCTTTAAATTGCTGTTGAAAAACATTTTACGAAGCCACACGGCCTCACAATTGTGTTTGTAAAGTACTTGAGGCAGGAGACAAGGGTTATGCTTCAACAGCAACTCCGATTACAGTAATAAAAAGAACACTTTCAGACCGAAGGCCTTATTTGCTAATTTCCTTTGTTTTATGGAGGCTGCTTATGCTTTCAAATGCCATGAATTGAAGCAAGAGAAGATTCCTATCAGCTGATTATTGTTTTCCAGTTAAAATCCAATCAAGAAAACACTGATGAACTGTAATTCTTGCATTCTCAGAAAATGGCTGCTGGCAAAACTCATCAGTAATTATGACAGATTCGGTTACAGAATGAGAAGACTTCACTCAGAGCAGCTACACTCCTGGTAATACCTCACACTGCATTCACAGTCTGATCAATACACTAAACCAATTTTAGCTACACGCATATAGAAAAAATAAACCAGACTTTTGGCTAATGGAGAGTTAGTCCCTCTTTCTGCACACAGGCAGTTGTTTTGCAGTACGGTGGCTGTAACAGAAAGCATAAAATTACTCCAAACAATTTCACATAGCATTAACTCACTGTTGCATCACCCAGCAGAAATGAAGTTGCATTACAGGGGAAGTCTAGAGTTAATATCATATTCCTACAGTCCTCACAACCTGCATCAGTTCTGAGTTTATGTACAGAGAACTAACAAATGGCTACATAGTCGGGGAAATGTCACGTCGAATTTTTTGCTCAAATCTCAAGCAGCTATTTTGTTAAAGTGCAAACTACTCAAAAATGATACCTAAGCATCCCAAATCACATTCAGAAAAAGTCTTTCAAAAACCATCAGGCATATTTTTTCACTTTCAGAGCTGACAATTACCATGAAGAAAATCCCCCCAATTCATTTCAGGTTAAGGAATAAAGCCGGTAGACATTTTCAAATATCCTTAGTTACAAGTGATCTTCCTTCAGAGCGGTTGTTCAGACTCAGGCAGCCTCTCCACCCTACCCATGGCACTGCCGACAGTAACACCGCAGGGGGTCACTGGGATTTCCTTGAAAGAATACTGAGAGATGGATCATTCTGATGAGCACGACAACTAACGATTCGTTAACGCAGAGACTATTGTAACTACCCTTTCCATGTTTATCAGGCCCCAATTCAGAAAAATATTTACATGCATTTTTACCTTTAAGCATATACTTGAGTCCTAAATTTATGTTTAAGTGTTGTCCTAAGTAGCCTCTTAGTGTTTTTTCCACTCGCAGGAATAAACATGCCCTGCATATCCACAACAACTGCGTAGGCAGAAACAAACCCCCACAACCAGTACGAGCTTGTCAAGGCCACAACAAAGCAAACTCTCTGAATACTAAAAGAAAGCAGCAGCTTTCTTCTAGTGCAGTAAGACTCTGGGTTAAGGACAACATTAGAAATTAAGATTTTGGGTCTTGAACTGAGAGACTTTTTATTTTTCAACGAATTAAGTAAAAAACAGCAGCAGCCACCAGAAACAGTCTTGGCTCTAACTGAAGTGAAATTTGAATGTAAATGGTCCTCCTCCAGAACCAAAGGGGTTGAATCCTTGCCATGTGTTCCAGTTCCTGTGGAAAGGGTTGCCCCCACCCTGCTGACTCTCCGCATCCAGTGGGTCCTCTCCCGCGTCAAACTTCCGCCTCATTTCTGGAGGAAACAAAACCAAGGTGGAATCATGGCACAGTCGTTAGGGCAGTGACACCAAGCATCTTTGAAGACCAATAACCAATTCAGACCTGATACCCCGCCCCAGCCAGAGGCCTGCAAATCTGCAAGTATCACTTGTATTGGCAGCATCTGTAGAACCTAGTTTGAGTTTTTCAAAGCTGTCCAGGAGACTGGCAAAGCAGAAGAGACTAACTCTGTGAGAACACTGTATAAAAAACTTCAAACTAGTCATTTAGTTTAAAACAAGACAAGACAGGACCTGGCTGTTCAACAGGACAAGTATGAATTTCAACAGGGACGGGACAGTTGCACTTTGACTGCGTCCCACAAGTAATTGGGACATTATGTCTTTGAAGAGTTTATTGGACCTATTCTGTCATAGCTGCACTCGCTCAGGGTGGTCTGATGAGACCATGCTGTATCCTGACAATTCTTCACAACCTGTAAATTCCAATATTGATCATTCAGCAACAGCACAAAAGTCAGCATGCAGAGCCCCAAGCCTTTTCAATCTTTTCCACATACCATTCGGGCAGAGAACTGCCTAGGTGCACAGCAGCTTGGAGGCAGAAAGCACGTTCTTTAAGTATATTTGTCCATCAGGGACAAAGTTGAAAGCCTTCCCCAAGACAAGTCACGGGCTACAATCACTAATGTTATTTACACCTGCATAACTTCCAAGCAGTGTGCAAGCACCACGAGGTTTTTTGATGACCCAGCACTTTTTCAGGATACCCATTTTATCAAGGCAGAGAGTGGAAGAGTGAGTTAGGGGGAAATCATGAGACTGGCTGGGGGAGGAATGTGGAAGATGGCCTCAAAGTACACCAGAGCCCTATGATAATAAGCTTGCAAATCAAAGCTCAGAGATTCAGAGGTCCACAGGTTTTATAGTTTTTTGTTTACATACTAGAGCCAGAAAGTGACCTGTGAGAAGTATCTGGATGAAATGAGAGAATGTCACTGCAATAAGAAGAGGTGGAAAGCAATACAGATGGCATTACAAAAGCCCCATATGACCCGTGTTAGTTTTCTTGCCCAGTTGGTTTGACAGAAATGGTTAACATGACATAAGAAACAGCGTAAAGCAGAAAGTAGATGAGACACTTCTGGAGATGCTGACAAGGCAAACAGCATTGAAAACACTTCCAGTATACAAATCTCCTAATTTGTGTGCCTAATGAGGAAAAAAAAAAAAAAAAAAATCACATTAACGCAGAGAAAGGTTTTCTGACCAGAAATGTTTGTAGTACAGTTCATCACTCTGAAGATCCCTCCTTCCTCCAAGAAAGTCTGAGCTCATCTGCCTAATTAGCACTTCGATGATCCTGAACAGTTGAAGATGAAAACCGGGAGCCTCTGATATCTACATCTTTTCATCTTTTACATGCTTCTCTCTTTCCAGTAACCACACAGGAACTTGAGGATTTTTTTTTTTTTTTGGGGGGGTGGGGGGGTGGTAGTGCTGGGGGGGGCTAGGGTAGGGGGTGTTTGGATATTTTTGGTGTGTTTTTTTTTGTCAGTTGAGTTTGTTGATTTGCTTTTGGTTTAGGTTTTTTTTTGTTTGTTTGGGAGTTTTTTTGTTGGGTTTTGGTTTTTTTGTTTGTTTGTTTTTTTGTTGTTGTTGTTGTTTGGTTGTTTGTTTTTGGTTTTTTTGTTTTTTTTGTTTGTTTGGTTTTTTTTTTAAAAAAGGAGGTGAGATAACCACACCGCCCCATTTTTTATTACATTCTTGAGACTAAATGGTCTAATCAATCCTGGAAATCTCTGCAAGATGATAATCTCAAAAGACTCCTTTGAAACAATAATTTTTATGTGACTTTAAACAAAAGTCGCTGAAACACAATAAATAATTCCATGTTTACATCTGACTTCACACAACAGATTAGATGCAAGCATTAGGGCATTGCTTTCTCAAGATGGATACGGGGAAAAAGGGAAACTCTAATGCTTGTTATGACTTACACTTGCTGCATTTACATTACTGTAAAAAAGTAATAAAAAAAAATTAAGTCACTGCATAAGAACAATCATTACCTGGGTCAGTGAGGACTTCTTTAGCAGCTGCTATATCAATGAATTTTTTCTCTGCTTTCTTCTTTTCTTCCTCACTCTGGAAGTTATCAGGGTGCCACTGGGATGCCAGCTTTCTGTAAGCTTTTATGATTTCTTGCTTTCGAGCATTTCTGGATGGATAAGATTACAGATAACATTTTCTAACTGTTCATATGTCACACTAGTGACTCTACAGGTTTATTTTAAATACTGAGACAGTAACTAAGGGTATCAGGAAAATTATGAGGTGCTACTTAACCTTCTGCAGGTGGCACTGAAGCTTCTTTATACAAAACACAGAGGAAGCAGGTTGTAACTTTAAACAAAGACTACTCACTCTCTCCTCCACTACCCATTTACTTTCCTTGGAAAGATGCTACTGCCAACTACTATGTAGAGTGCAATTCCCAGTCTGCAGAAGTTACAATCAGGTGAGTAACAAAAAGCACAGAAAGTAGAGAATAAATCAGTTCATGACTGGAAGGATGACCAATACTAGTTCATAACTGGACACCTGTTTGGTCCTCATTAAAAAGAGAAGTCATTAGTTTCTCAAGGTTAATGGCAGAAGTATTTTAGATACCATTCAGTTAGTCCTTTCAAACTCTTCCAATCACACCATCTGTCAGAACTTTATTTTTTGTTGCTTTGAGGAATTCTTTCCAGTCTTCATTTCTTCCCCAATTCATTCACCTGACTCTTGATCATCTAGTACTAAAAATTTCTTGCCAAGGGATTTATTCCTTTCCTTCCCAATGTTGTTTTTTCCTTCTTTCTAAAGAAATTGTAAAGAAATACTACTTAAAAACTGAACACTGCTGAACTAGCACAGTAAGAAAGACAGGAAGGTAAAGGAACAAAAACTAGCACTCAGCAGAACAAATCAGCACTAGATGTACTAGTTTAATAACGAACTTTCATGTCATCATCTCAGATATTAATATCTCACCTTTTTACTCCTAAGATTTTATAGTAATCCCTCTTCTGAGATTGCTTCAGCATCCGCTGGGCACGTTCTAGCCCCTCCCGAATCTGCTGGTCATTTTCACTATTGGCCTGAGCAGTCTCATAGTCTTTAATAGCTTTTATAAAAAAAAAAAAAAAAGTGAATGACAAAGATTACACAACTCTGAAAACTTCGATTTAAAGAACTAAACCACTCACCAAAACTGAAGTTTTGCTATTACCATACATAAACAGCAAAACTTTCATTTCAGCTTGTCGTATTGTCTTTCCAAGTTAGAAAACATTGGAGTAGAGGAGATTTCATTTTCACATGTAATTTAGGTAATTTTCTTTCTTTAGGTTCATCACATTTTTTGGAAAGGAAGGAGAAGGGAAGTTACTAGCAGTAGGTCAGAACGCTCTCTAGATGTTACAACAGTCACATGGATGAATGTAACGAGCATTTAGGACTGGGATGAAACAGAAGTCAAGAAACAAGTTTCAGCGACTAGTATTTGAAGAGTCCACTGCACAATGTTAGTCCCACACTGCTGTTCAACTGAAGGATGTATAATACAGTCTTTAATATTCCTTCTCCCACAGTGTGCACTCACTCAACATGATGGGCAGCCTCTTCCTCTTTAATGACATTAAAGATGGATTTCAGATTACCAATAAATTCATACTGTTAGTGAACGACAAATATTTGCTTTTCACACCTCTGCATAATATGCAGAAAGTTATATTTTAAGGGTTTTTTTCCCAAAGGCATGTTCTCACTTTTATTTCAAGAGTTGCATTTCTCAGGAATGAAAGCAAGGGAGGTACTGTAACATATTAATGAATTTAAGAAATTCCAGGTCTATACCTTTTTTTTTTTTTTTTTTTTTTTTAAAGTAAACCATATTATTACTGTAAGTGGTAACTGAATACTTAAGGCACCAGTTTTAAATATTCTTTGACATCAAGATTTATCAAGGGAAGCAACTGTTGGAAGTCTTTAATGAGACTGCTCTTCTTTCACCATTATAATCCTCAAAGTCTCATTTGCAGATCCAAGTCCCCTAGGTTTCTCAAGTTAGACAAACTACTTGCATCAGATTATTTCCAAGCAGATGCTATTTCTCAGCAGGTGTTACATTTGTTTTTCACTCTTTCTGAGCAAGACAGCAGGAAGTGCTAATGATTTTGTATTACCCAGACATCTGATACCACTGCGATCTTGTTTTGGTTACTGAAAAAAATTTCCAAAAAGTATTTTCAGTGCCCCAACAATTTCATATGATATTACAAACAAAACAACATTTCTATTCACTGTCAAATCACTGAACACTCATTTGCTGCTTGAACAAAAGATTTTGGCTTCTGCTGATATTTTTAATCATATGTCCAGTTGTTAAAACCCCCCCAATAAACGGGAGTGTATATTTGTGTGCCCAGTATATGCCGTTGAAACTGATAAAAATAATGAAGATGCAGGGATTTCATTATGTTGCTTTAGCACTCCAATAATTTTAAGCATCAGCATACTTAATCTGCTTCATGTAATAATGGAAGATCCCATCACAACGTCCTGCCAAATGCAGATCAAATTACTCCCCTGAGCACAGTATCATCTACAGCATGCACCACTGCTGGAAACAAAGCTGCTCAGGGGTCAAGTATTTGCAGTGACAGTACTAGATTTCTCTTTTTTTTTTAATTGATTCCCTTATTTAAAGGCTGCAAGTACTAAGCATATGGGAAGCTGTGGTTTTCAGTGCTACATACCACACAGGGAATGCGCCCAGCACACCTGACATCAAGTACATTTTGCACTTTCTCTCAACTGGAAGAGACTTCAATTTTGATGGTACTCTCTGGTGGAGGAATTTTCCTCTTTCAGAGAGCTAATCACACTCCCCACCTGAGGGGTGAGGATTGAAAGCAGGTGGAAGCAGGATGACAGCTTCCAGATCACAAGAAATTTCCTATGATACCAGGAGACTTAATACTAATTCACAGTATGAGTGAGATATTTAATCAGGTTTTCTCAGTCATTATTTCTAAAAGCACTAGTACCTCACAAACCAACACTGCTGCTTCTTACTGGCCTGCTATTTCAGAGGGCATCCTTCCTTCCTTTCATCCTGTCCCATGCCATGAGAGGAACAACCAGTTTCCAGTATCACCTTCAATCTAAATACTTCAGTCAAATCTAACTCTCCTTCTTGCAATACAAGAGTCTTCACAATCTCTCAAATAACAATTGCATCATATCTCTAAACACCTTAGCTGGTTTTCCCATCTTGCCTGCATCTTTAGAAGACAGTGACCAAGATTGGACATTATTCCATATGCAGAATTAATTTCCCATCAAACGTGAGTAACTGCAGACAGCCTATGTCCATGTCAACCGTGTTAGAGGAATAACTGAACCAGTTATGCTCTTACTGAAATAGGGACTGTCTTCTACAGTAGTAGTGCAGGGAGGGGAAAAAAAAAAAAAAATTGTCCTGACCTATTTTTAAACAGCAAGATCTTTTTTTAACTACTTTGACAAAACTTGTGCAGTATACTTTAGACAAATAGACTCCTGTACTTATGAGGTAAGCCAGAAAGGGAGTCATTACACATCTGTCCCTCTAGACAAGCCCTGTATCCCATGTGATTATAAAGTAATTAAAACCATTTGATGGAATCAGAACTCAGCTATACATACCAAAGTGCACCTTGAACATTTAACAATAATCGCCTTCAAAGTTCTGAATTACAAGTACTTCGCAATTTCCTGTCTTTAAACAGGAAAATAGGTGCCTTCAGCTTGAAATTTTCTTGAGGGAAGAATCAGTCTGCTCCTTTAAATATGAGACTACAATCTTAATCACTCTATTGTTCTCTACAGCAGCGAGAAATCAGCCATTTTACAGCAGTTAAATATGAAGGATAAGTGAACACCTTCAGGCAGACTAACATTAACGGACTATAATATTGTTTATGGAGGCTCTGCTGGAAGCCAGAGTGTAGCTACAACCGCATCACTACTGTCAAGGGCAGGAGGAAGGCAGGGGATATGCTAAACAACTGGGATTTGGAGGAGCACTGTTCCACTCTAGCGTGGTTGTCCACTCAGAACCAGGCTAGGCCAAGCCCAGCAAGCTCCAGCCCAAGGAAATAAACTCTCCCAGATCCCAGGTGTGTCCTCTCTGTGTTTTCCATAATCCCATAATAGGGAGGCATTTGCTCCAACACAAGATCAAACTGGCTCTGTGCCTTTGTGCAGGACCTTGTTAAAAAACATTTTTTCCCCTCTAATTTGCAAGAGCTGTCAGATTCTCTCACTCTAAGGAACGAGAAATAGATGAGGAGTAAATAGAAGATAACGTTATAAAGATCCAAACTGAGATTCATCTATTTCAAGAAAACACACAGATCAATTCTGTCCACTAGTAAGAAGCAAAAAGTACATCTAAGAGGACTCATAGCAAGGCCTGTTTGGCCTACCCCTCTCTGTACCCTCCTCTAAGCTGAAGATTCATACACCTTGAGAGGAAAAAGTAATCTTAAATTTTCTTTGGGTTCTTTTTTTGATGATAGTCCATCCTCTTAAACCAAAAACCATTGCAGAAGCCATAATCTATGTAGGTTTGTATTCTGTACCTTTAACTTTTTTAAGGAAATGGGGTTTTGTTATTCATCTGTAAAGCTACTTTTTCCAATGCTGACTGGGCTTACTTCCATGATACTGAAGTACAGAAAAACATGGGGAAATGCTCAAAACGGGCCTCATCACTGTGAAACTTTCCTGAGCCTCACCTTTTAGGCTGACACTGCAGTTTTAAACAGTCAAAATATGGAAAAACATTACCCTAAGAAAATAGAAATACAATTTTCCCTCACACTTTTTTTTTTTTTTTTTAATTTATTTTTAAGCAATCCTCTTGTACAAAGGTCATCTGTTCTATGAAATGCTGCTGTCTTCCACTCTTTTTCTTACAAGGAGGAAGAAGACTTGCCAGCCTCAGCAAAGAGGGACTAGGTCACTTCAGAGGTACGAAGTCTACAGGGCTGATAAAGAGGACTGCCTAAAACCACATTAGCCCTTTTTATACCGTAGTTTCATTTGAGTCAAGGGGGTCTAACAAAAAGAACAAAATAGGTATCTTATTTTTGAAGTGAACTTCAGGAGGTGAGCAATATCATCTCTCAGAGATTAATTTCTCAAAAAGACAAAAAAATCTGAGCGTGCTATTAATGAGAACAGCTGCCTCATGAATGTTTAAATAAAAAAGATTTTTTTTTTTCAGTTATAAAGCAAAAGATCCAGTACCAGAATGGTGAAAAGGAAAATCATTTTATGAGTACTAAAATTAATGGTACTAGTTTTCTGCAGATTTAAAGCCTACAAGTCCTTTCCCTTATCACATTTGACTGAAATAGCCCGATACTTCAAAGACTGCTGCATGACTGAGCATGGGGATGGAACAGACAGACTGTCCACATTTCCTTCTTAAGCCTGTTTTTTTGTGGAAATAAGATTCACTAAATTAAGTTTTGAAGATTTTTTTTTTTTTAATAGCACATTAACAGTTAGCACTCTAAAACAAGCTAGGTAACAACACAATAGCGTGCTCAGAGACACCCATTACTCTGTCCCTACTTTCCAAGGCTGTAGATGGGACCATGTAACAGTACACATTTTATGGAAACCCCATATGGAAATGCAGCCTCAGGAGTAGAACCAGTTTACTGGTCTCACCAGCAGCACTACAAAGACCCATGGAGGTGAAACAACGGCTGTTATTTCCCTCTGCCCTCTACATATGCTAGGGGATAGAATACTATTGTTTCATGCTGCCATCTAAAGACATTAAAATGGAGTTCCTGAAATGGATTTATATCACCCTAACTATAATTACCTTTCTCTCTAAATGCAGTTCTCTGACATGGTTGATTATATAAAATGTGTTTGAGTAAGCTGTACAGTCTCATAAAGCATCCTGGACATAGCCCATAGTTGTAAAGACAACTCTGCTGTAGATAAAACAAGTACATTCCACTTATACTAATCAAGACAAAATTACCAGCAGATATTTTTGTAAACCTGCAACTACCAGTGCTGATTAGGGGTAACAACATGGTGTAGAATTGAAGTGCATGTTAAAAAAATTTTTTAAACATTGACTGCATTTTAAATGCCCACAAGGAAGTATGTGCAAACTGCATGCAACTGTACCTTCTTCATACAGGTCTTCCAGCAAATAAGCTTCTGCTCTGTCTTTCAGGGCATTCACATTGGTTGGTTCCAGTTGCAGAACTTCTGTACAAACTTCTATCGCTTCTGTAGCCTGCTGATTCTAGAGAAGAGAAAGTAAACAAAATTCATGTAGTTGTGTTTTCTTTTGAGGGCAGGTGTTTGTTTTAAAGATAAAGTAGAAATACCTTTGATAAACAGTGGCAGATCCTTTCTTTGGCACGAGTAGCATAAACTGGGACTTCTGGCTCCGTTTTCATTACGGAATCATATTTACTGATTGCATCTTCATACCTGTTTAAATCATAAAGATAAGTATAATATGAAATGTAATAATTATTTCAGGGTGCTGTGATTTACAGATTTTTTTAAAAATTAAAATTCACAGATTTTCACATCCTTCCAGCAATGTACCTTAAAAGTCTTAAAGGTGTGGTGTGAGACAACAGTATGAAGAAAACTTTCAGCCACTTCAAGAATTACATCCCCATTTCCTTTTCTATGCTCTGAGATAGACCCTGTGCCTGGCAGGCTTGTGCAGAAGGTAACAACTACCACCCCTCAATGTGCACAGACAACAGTCTCTAGATTTGCATCCTGTCCAACTCTGCACTTGGAAAAAAGCATTTCCTTCTGATATGTGAGATGGACTAAATCTGGAGTCTTGCTGTGAACACTGTACTACTTGTGTTTCTTGGTATAAAAAAGTTCTTCATGCCAGGTTGAATCAGGTGGTTTTCTTCCTCCTTCTCTGAAAGTCACACAGCAAAATGTATTTTTGCTGTGCAGGTTTCGAAGATGCATTCACCTAAAAATGAAAGTGTGTGACTGAACCTGTGGGTTGCTACAAGCTAGAAGAAATTCAAGCTCTCAGAAGACTTCCTGAAAATGTGCAGATACTGGATTAAATAGAAGACTGAAGTGAGAAGAGTCCAAATGGACTGGTGACTTGATAAAACTGTCTTCAGTTGTGCTGATTCACATTCCTGATGTACTTCCATTTTAAAAAGCCACCTTGATAATGTTTAATCACTTGTTGGGGATCCTTACAGTTGGATGTCATGTGCTTGGGAACATGTAAAACTGAAATAAAGCAAGAAGTAGAAGAATACAGAGGCACTGCCTATCATTTAACAGGGTGCATAAAAGAAGCCCAGTCAGATCCACTTTTGCTATCAAGGCACTGCAGTTACTAGGCAGTTTTAGGCTAAAGATGTGGTCCTTTCATCACAGAATAGTTGAGGTTGAAAGGGACATCTGGAGGTCATCTGGTCCAACTCCCCTGCTCAAGCAAGGCCACCTAGAGCTGGTTGCCCAGGACCGTGTCCAGGTGGATTTTGAATACCTCCAAACTGGGGACACTCACAACCTCTCTGGGCAACCTGCACCAGTGAAAACAAGGGGGTGGTGGGAAGCATTTCCTTATGTTCAAATGGAATTTCCTGTTTCTCTTTGCACCCATTTCCCCTTGTCCTGTCACTGGCACCAATAAAAGGTGCCTGGCTCCACCCTCATTGCACCCATCCTCCCTTCAGGTATTTATATACATCAATGAGATCAATCACCCTGTAGCAGAGAAGGCTCGGGGGAATGGTCCCAGCTATCTCAGCCTTTCCTCACAGGGAAGAGATGCTCCAGTCCCTCCATCACCTTAGTGGCACTGTGCTGGTCTCAGCAGCTTCATCTCTCTTGCACTGGGGAGCCCAGCACACCAGTTGTGGCCCCATCTGTGCTGAGTAATAATATATGAGAGCTGACAAATACTATCCCTATCTTGGTCTTACTATCTGCTCCACAAACTTGATAAGTATGCAAAGAGAAGGCAGTGGCATCAGAAGGAATAGGAACAGGATTTTCACTATATGAGTCAATATTTATTTTAATTGTAATTTGAGAGCTGTGCTCAGTTATCCACTTCAACTGACAGATGCAAAAAGCATCACTTAATCAACTCCTCAATCAATAATAAGCTGGTGTCTCAGTAGTGATTTTTTTTTTTTCCTTTTTTTTTTTTTTTTTTTCCCAATATAACAGCGAACACTCACCTGCCTTCTCTGATGAATTCCTCTGCTGACTCAATCTGCTTATTGAGTTTCTTTACTTGCTTATAGAGAGAGAAGCATTGCTTATGGTCTTGGTCCAATTTCAGACACTCCCGGACTTCACTTTTCACAGGAAGGGAGGGAGGAGAAAAACAAACAAAAAAAACCCAGAACAGAAAGACATCACCACACATACTGAAATTTCACTAAGAAACACAAGGCAGCATCTATAAGCTGTCCAGAACAATTCAATTTTTTTTTTTTTTTTTTTTTTTTTTTACAAACCCTCTCCCTTCATCCAAAAATGAATTTAAAGCAAGACAAAAAGAGTCTTCCAGAACATACAGGGATATTTGTCTGGGTTTGTTTTTAATTATGTTGTATTGCAAAGTATGCGAAGAAAAGTATATCCTGGGAAAGAAATTACATTCAGCAGTTATCCAATACAATTGATTGTAATTTTCCTGTATATTTAACTCTGCTATATTACAAAATACCTACACAGAAGTGTATTTTATGCTACTTGAAACAGACAAAACTCAGCTAAGGCCCAAACCTCCTCCTCTTGAAGGAATCTCAGCCAAGCCAGAGCCTGGCTTTTCAGTGTGAAACCTGTTTAATCAGCCTCTGATTAGGGCAGATAGCTCTTAAAATAGTCAGGTTCTAAAAAAACTCCTGAATGCAACCATATGAAGGAATAAAAGTTTTGGATCATACAGAGTCATCACAGCACAACCAAGGTGCTATTTTCAGAAAAAGAGGAACAAAATAAGATTTTGTGATAACCATGGACAGAAATACCTATTGTTTGAAAATCATTAAGCCTGTAAAGGTAAGAGGAAGAAACTGAGGGAAGGACAATATTATTCACCCAGCAAGTCCAAGAGCCACAGAATTTTCTTAGTGTATCTTATGATAAAAAAAAAAAAAAACAACAAACAAAAAACAAAAACACAACCAAAACAACAGTACCAGAGAAGAATGAAGAAGAGAGGCTTATCCTTTCATTCTGATACCATTCTGTTCTTCAACAGTGTTCTCAACTGTACTTATAAGAATCTTAAAATTTGGTTATTAGCAGAGGAAGTCATATGTGGATTTCAGAGAAGAAAAAAAAACAACCACCACCAACAAAACAAAACAACAACAACACAAAACAAAAACAAACAAACAAACAAAAAAAAAAAAAACAAAGCACCTATTCTTGAAATCATTAGGCTAAGTGATGGCCAGCTACCAAAAGTCACCACAGAAGTGACCTGTGAGCTTCAGAGATTCCATATGCTCTGGAAAGGGGATTCCTAATGCAAAAAAATTAGCTATTTGGTGTTTATTTTTGCCCAGCTATAGAATTAATTTCTGCAATTATAATCACATGTGGTTTCCATCCACCAGCCAAGAAAAGAAACTCAGTTTTTTTCAGTTCCATTCCCCTCCTACTGAACAGATTCTGTGGCAGAAGCTATACTGGAAGGAGTTTGGAGATGAAGGTAGTCCATCTGAGATGATGAGCTGCACAGAAACCACTTGTGTACAAGAAGAAGGATTGTACCATCTATCCAGCTGAGCACAGAGCATGAAGTTAAGAGACCGGAGTGGGTAAGGGCAGTTATCTGCAGAACTGACTAGGGTCATACAAGAATAACACCATAAATCTAACTGTATATGAATAAAAGGGTAAAGCGTTACCAAAAAATCATCCAAAACATTGGACATTGTCTGCAAGAATGAAAGACTGATAGCTCTGGATCCCAAGCTCCTCAATACTTGGATGCCACTGGACATTTATTTATTCTTAAGCCTGTAAGCTTTTGTTTCCACTCTTGAAAATAAAAATCTAGCCCTAAGACTTAATGCATGCATTCTTTTATTTGCATTGTAAACTTAACTCGAATGGAGGTTCAAGGCTACAAAAAGGCTCCACCAAAGCAAGTTAGGAGAAGCACTTTCTTTGAGGATGGAGAAATACAAGACAGTAAATGTAAGCAACTCTGACAAATCTGCACTATGGCTCTTATTTAAATAAACAAGTTGCTAGGAACCATTGATGGCTGGTCTGCCAAGAATAAACATGGTGCCTTCACTGACAGTTCTTAGCTTCCAGAAGGAAGCTTCCTTTATCAGATCTAGACCAGAGCTGCTACTCCATTCAAAAACCAGACAGCATAGACACTTCACGGTTTATCATGAGATGTATCATCACATTTTCTGTCTCAATTACAGTGATTACAGCAAACAGTAAAATTACCTGAGTGATAATTCATGGTCCCCCAGCTGATAATATATTCTGCTGATTTTATAGAAGGCTTCAGTGTTATCGTTCTTTAATTTGGCAGCAGCTTTCAAGTCACTAATGGCTTTGCTTGGTTCCCCTTCTTTTATATAACACTCAGCTCGAAGTTCCCGTAGCTCTGCATCCCAAACACAAACCTTGAGAAATCAAAATTAAAGCTTGGTTTTGGTCCGTAACAACACTTCAATCCTTTTCCTCCCCAACAGAAGAAAAATCCCATTTAATTCCACTTTGCCAACCGCAATAGCGTAAGGTTCAAGCTGCATGCAGAGCGCATGAAATTAGCATCTCTGCTTCCTGGTGGATGCTGTGATGCACCTGCCCAAACAGAAAACAAAGGCCTGAAAAATTTCTAAATGATTCAATGAGCTCATGCAGGGAGATGAATTAAATCTACTGGCACTACTTAAACTGGGACAGTCTGTTGAGCCTCCAGGGAAGGATATCGGAACCATAAATTATTGTATCTTCCCAAAAGAACGGGGGTAACAGCAAGGACCAAGCTGTCAGTTGTCCTCTAGAAAGAAGCCTGTGGGTAGGATTCAGCTATGCAAGATTTAACCTTAGTATCTGGATTTTAAAGATACATACAGAAGTAACAACGTCACAGTATGGCAAGAAGGATTACTTAAAAGGAACTGCTTATCGTAATTCGTTTGAGAGAATTTATTTTGCATCTTATCATTTGTTTATAAACCATCATTTCAGAGAACGAGTCTTTTCTGCTTTTCCATGTTCCCTCCCTATAAACAAATTCCCACACTCTGGCAGCTTCTTCACCAAAAGCTAGAATGTTGTAAATGCTGAGTCAGTGTTAATTTGTATGTGAAGAGTCATAGCAATTAACTGTCTTTTAATATATATTCCTATATGACACAAAAAATGCCCGTGATTGAGTTATTTACACTTATACTATCAGACTACCTATACTGATTAAGATTCAACAAATAATGGTATCTACAGGACAAGCTGAAAATCCAGATAGCTACGTATATTCTTAACTTGGTGATTTTTTTTGATCTTGTTACTTTATTTTCTCAAGACACAAATTGCCTGAATATAGGCAATGAAAAATCTAGATGAAAAAATGTATACCCTTTATACTTGGCAAAATCTCACTGGTTTGAGAACAACTTTTTTCCCAGCTTCCCCAAGAACACTGAACTGTGGAAAAATCAGAAAGTATAATCATGTAAGTTATCCGTAACAGAAGTTTGTCTGAAATTGTATCTTTAACCTGAACTACAAGCTACTATGCAGCTAGTGTTCAGCATCCTCCACTCTCCAACTTCATTACGGACTCACGGTGCTCAGCAAAACTGAGTCAATTACACCAAGTGTTTTCACATCAGTGAAGAAGTTATTAAACAAAAATACACAGATGTCAGAGAGAAGCTCTTACTTCCCTTTCACAGTACCATTTTACTCCATACTTACTGCCAAGATTTCATCAAGAAGAGAAATTGCAGCTTCGTAATCCTCTTGCTGGTAGGCAGATAATGCTTGTGAATGCAAGCGCTGTAGCTCATCAGATTTTGTCAGCTGAGTCTGGGCTTCTTTTTCCTCATTATTGCTGGGATTGGATTTGAGCTGCAAACATTAACAAGGAGAGACACTAAAATGCTTGTTCAAGTCTCTCTTTGTCCCATTAATAATCATAACACAAAGAACTGACCAAAGCTGCAAATAAAGCAAAACTAGTTGTAACATTCCACTGGAAATCTTTCCAACTCCAAAGTTCAGAAAAAAAGAAAGACATTTTTAGCTTCAATACAAGTTGTCAGAACTCAGTGAATTCTAATTCCTCCCCTTACCATGCTTGCTCATTTACCATTGGACACACCATACACAATAGTTGCTCCCCCATCACCTGCTGGAAGTCATGGACCTCTCAACCGTAGCCTTGTTAACTCACATCTCTGCAGACAGTTATTAAACACTGAATTCCTCAACATCAGTAGAAAGTATATCCACATGACAATCACATTTGTCGCCTTAAGCACAATATGTATTTATAAATTCATGACAAAAACAAATGCAACACATCACAGGTAGTATTACTGTAAAGCTGCGGTTTTCACATTTTCCCCAGAAAAAGTGGCTGCAGCAGCAGGTTAAGGTGCTACAGATGGGGAAGACCCTCAACTGCAATCAGCTGGGAAAATACACTTTTTCATACTCATTTTTAAATAAGTCTAAAGTTTTGTCTACAAAGACTCTCTCAAACCCCTCTCTGAGCACACAAAGGAGTTACATTGTACTTGCCTTCATTTCTTTAGGCAGCTTTATATAAACAAAGAAAATATATTAAAAAAAAAAAAATAATCTCACGAGCAACTCTGCTACCACCCAGGAAGACAAGTATGGGCCAGGAAGAATCTCAGCCATTCCCCTGCAAGGCTAGGAAGTAATTTGTAAGATTAATGTAGCCTGAGGCAGTGGCTTCACACTTGTTGCTGATCAGAATGACCTAAAAAGTTTTAAAGGGACTGATCAGCAGGACTTTTTTTTTTTTTGTTACATTTTGTTTGTTTTAAAAATCAAAACTTGCACCACCTTGCATTTTATACACAGAATGCTGACTGAAGTTAATGAGTCCTCAAAGTCATCTAGTATTTTTTGTTTCCTCCTTTATCGCATAGTGGCCTCTTCCCTTCTTCTCATCAGTAAGTTTTTCAAACACTCATATATTTTGTGATTAAATCTCTAATGTAGTTCAGCATCAGTCCTCAGAACTCCTTTAAGTGTTAGAACCAAGGGAAACTGTTAAGTATATAAAAGGAAAACGCCCAAATGCAACATCAAAAGCATGCACAGGTCTCACCTCTGTCTTAGATTCTTCATATTAAGTCTTTGAACCTTATACAGTTGTTTCATTTTACTCTGGCAAAAATCAAGTTGTACTTAGACCTGAAAATTCTCCTTTATTCCCTACACTGCCTTTCAGCAAGAAGAGAGGAATGTGATCAAAGAGTTTTCTTCTTTGTAGGCTGATTCTTAATGTAAGTCTCAAAAAGCATTTCTTCTGGTTAGAACAGAAACGCTGCCTATAAACCCCTGATAATGTGCATCCTCTTTCTTCCCCAAATCTGGAGCTTGTAGTAGAGGCAAATTTCTGCACCTGTAATTTTAAAAGTTCCAAGATTACAAAACTTCCTGAAGTTCTGAACTTTCCAGTTCCAGCTGACTTGCTAAATTTCTCCCTCAATTTCTAAGCATTTTACTCCCTTAAAAATTAAAAGCTTTTGCTACGGACAAGCTTTATGCTTCCATTTAAATTTATCTCACAGTAGCACTGTACTGCACAGTATGTTTCTTGTAATTTATTTGGAGCAAAAGGTCAGTGGAATATGAAAAGCAATGTGACAATCATACAGATAAGTCCAACAGTAATAAAGATCATTTGAGTGAAACATCCTACATAACTGAGGTAGTACAAACTGTCCAGTTAACAAAGAAAGGGCAACTTTTCAAGCTGTCATTCAAACAAAAGCCATCAAGTATTTGTTTGCTACAGTATGATGACAATATACACTCAGAAGCTCTTAATAATTAGTGTATTGCTATGATGTTTTAATAGGTAATATTAAGTAAAACAGAAAGAAGCCTTAGTAAAAGAAAGATCAGCAATGTTTTTTATTCAAAGCTTTACAACATTGTCTGTTACCATGCTAAAAAAGGGATCCCCAAACACAGAACTAGGAATTGTGAACGTGGAACAAGTGCTTTCTGCCTATTAAGTTTAGTAAGAACTCTTCACTTCAGCATCTTTTTTTCAGAAGCATAGGGAAGTTAAAAAACATGGCTACGCTAATGCAATGGCTTACCACAACTCCTCCTGCCTTCCAGCTACATAGTCTTACATCTTCCTTTGCAATGGCCCATGAACAATACAGGAAAAAGTTGGGCATGTAGTTCAGGAATTCTAATGAATAACAGTCCCAACCACCTTGAGAAGAAAAAAAGTGAACCCCACAACAACTCAAAATCCAGACTCTCAAAAAGTATAGAATAAAGATATATAGACAATTAATCTGTAGCATTTCAGTATCTTAGTATTATAAACAGATACGATCAATGTGAAAAACCCTTAAATACTGTTGTTTAAAAAACAAAATGTTGTTAAATAACCCAAAATGTTATAGACACACTGTTTTTATACTTTGCTTACAGTGATCCAGTGCCACTAACATAGGCATACATCCACACATTCTAAAGCTGTTTTCTTTTCTTGCTTTTCAAACTGGTAAATACCCAGACAATTAAAACAAATTTATTAGGCTTATGAAAAATATTCTGAGGGGAACCGAAGGAACCTCCATGGTTTGTGCTATCTAAGATCAAGACATCCACACACTTAAGAACAGTACACAAAGGAATATATTATATTCCAGGAAGAGCAATATATTAGGTAACATAGCTATGATGTTAGACAGATGGAAAAAAGCAAGGAAATATTTAGATACCTTTTATTCTTTACCCAGGAAGCTACAGATGATCACAGTACCAGAGAGGAATGTATTTGGAAACAATCTAATGCTACTTTGACTTGGTTAAGAGAGCTTCAAGTACCCAACCCAAGCTTGCCTAGTAACTTACTCAAACTAGGTTAAGTTACAGTGCCATAAAATGGTTTCCTCCACCTACATCCAAAATAGTATTATTACACGCACCAACCAATCATGGAAAACTACTGTCCAGTGTATTTTTCAACAGCTAAAGACTTCTCTAAATTAGGAAACAATTTGCAGAGGTACAGTGCTCAATCACTTGGTCTTGGCTGACATCTAGTGGACCTGGAAGCAGCACCTTCAGTTTCCATCTTTTAAGTGCTTATGCTTCCAAGAGACAGAATTGCGTATTTAGGACACCTCAATTTACAGTATTTATTGCAAGAAACTGCAACTGTGAATATTACAGTCAGTCAAAAAAAAAAAAAAAAAAAAAAAAAAAAAAGGAAGAGAATTGAAAAGAAATATGACAATTTGGTCCTTTATACACTTTCCAATAGACTAGGCAGTTTTGTTCTATTTTTGTGCCTTCTACAGAATTCAGCAACACAAACGCTTGTCATTTTCTCTAGGACACAAGCAAGGTCACAGACAATATTACAGGGCATATACAGAGGGCCACGAGGCCTTATACTGCTTTTGTCACCTTTTCAGAAGGCCTTCCATCAATCAAAGTACACCAATTTTCACTAAAAATCACATGCTTAAAGATAAAATAAATATTCCAGGGCTTTCATGGATTGAGGCCTTAAACACGAGTGTTGATATGCCCACAGATCTGTCCTGTTGACTTCTATTATTCAGAAGCTAAATAACAAAAACAGAAGGAACTTGATATTGAAGCATATGAACACTGAACCAAAGTTGGAGCAGAGAAATAAATACTATTCCTATATTGTGAGTAATGACTTTCTAAAGTCATCTAAGGACTTCTGCATAATCCCTCTTCTATTCTGGGCACTCTCAACACAAGAATTAGACCCCTCTACTGACACATGCTGAAAGTTTTATTACCTTCCAGGCCCTAGATTTCCAAACTGGTAGCTGAGTTGCAAAGGAAAAAGCTAGAGCTTAATGAGTTGTGATTCTGTATCGCTAGACAGAAAAAAAACAAACCTGGCCCATGTAGGGAGCTTCATCAGTTTGGTGCATCTGTTGGCCAAAATGAGAGTTTCCTAGAAATGCAGTATTGCTTAACATGTCAAGGCATAAATGTGAGTCACACCCTATATCCAAACCTTGTGATTATTTTCAGCCAATAGGGAAGTAGAGAGTAGGGAAAAAAAAAAAGCAATCTAAAAACAAGGTATGAAGGCTGGTGTCTCAAGAAACTCTGCTCCTGAAATAAGTACTCCCATCCTTTCCAGTCAGCCATTCCCGCTGCCTTCTCTCACACTGGCACTGCCTTACAAGACAGCTAGTACCGATATACCACATGGGATAGAAACATCTTTGAATGGTTTGGGTTGTAAGGGACCTTGAAGATCATCTAGTTCCAGGCCCCCTGCCAGGGGCAGGGCCCCCTTCCCCCAGCCCAGGGTGCTCCCAGCCCCATCCAACCTGGCCTGGAACCCTTCCAGGGAGGGGGCAGCCACAGCTGCTCTGGGAACCTGTGCCAGTGTCTCACCATCCTCACAGGAAAGAATTTCTTCCTTACATCTAATATAAATCTGCCCTCTTTCAGTTTAAAAACATTACCCCTTGTCCTATCACTACACTCCCCGATAACGAGTCCCTCCCCATCTTTCCTGTAGACCCCCTTCACATACTGGAAGGCCACTATAAGATCTCCTTGAAGCCTTCTCTTTTCTGGGCTGAACAATCCCAACTCTCTCAGCCTGTCCTCACAGGGGAGGTGCTACAGCCCCCCTGATCATCTTCATGGCCCTCCTTTGGACCCACTCAAGCAGGTCCATGTCCTTCTTATACTGGGGACACCAGAGCTGGACACAGCACTCCAGGTGGCGTCTCACAAGAGCAGAGTAGAAAGGGAGAATCACCTCCGTCAACTTGCTGGCCACACTTCTCTTGATGTAGCCCCAGGACATGGCTGGCTTTCTAGGCTGCGAGTGCACACTGCTGGCTCATAGTCAGTTTTTCATACATTAATACCCCCCAAGTCCTTCTCTGCAGGGCTGCTCTCAATCCACTTATTGTCCAGCCTGTATCTGTGCTTGGGATTGCCCCAACCCCTGTGCAGGACCTTGCACTTGGCCTTGCTGAACTCCATGAGGTTTGCACAGGCCCACCTCTCAAGCCTGCCAAGGTCCCTCTGGATGCATCCCTTCCCTCCAGCCCATCGACCGCACCACGCAGCTTGGTGTCACTGGTGAACTTGCTGAGGGTGCACCCAGTCCCCCTGTCCGTGTCACCAACAAAGATGTTAAACAGCACTGGTCCCAACACCAACTCCTGAGGAATGCCACTTGTCACTGATCTGTACTTGGACATTGAGGCATTGACCACAACTCTGAGTGCAGCCATCAAGCCAATTCCTTATCCATCAAGTGGTCCACCCATGAAATCCATGTGTTTCCAATTTAGGGACAAGGATGTCATGCAGGACAGCAACAGAAGCTTTGCACAAGTCCAGGCAGATGATGTCAGCTGACATCCAGAGAAACTGTTCTACTTAGCAAACATATAACTTCAAACAGATTTAGGGTGCTCATGAAACATTTCCCACATACTATAAAACTGTGTAGAAAGAATTTAAGGGTACGAAAATTTATTTTCACAAGTATACAACTACAGAATAGTTTTACTATTATGTGTAAATAATAGTTTCAATGACTCTTTTAAGGTGTACACCAAACTGCTGCTGTTAGAAGCTGGGTAAGTTTACCTGTGATCCTCTCCTCCTTTTAGGCAGGCTGAATATTTCTTACTCTTTCTCTCCCTCAAAAATGACTGCATCTCCTATACTGCGGAGATCCCTTTCAAGGAACATGATTCCAAGAGGAGCGATAGAAGAAAAAAAGCTTTTCAGAGTCTCCAGTGGAATTTGACAGACTTCTGGAACATACTAGGAGAAAACAGCATTTTACAGGCAGTTCATTGTATCAATCACTGTCCTGGTTTTGGCTGGGATAGAGCTAATTTCCCCCTCCCCCACCTTCTTGGTAGCTAGAATAGTGCTGTTTTGAATTCAGTATGGAATTTGATATGAGAAGGATGTTGCTAAGAAATCAAGGACTTTTCAACTCCTCATGTCCTGCTAGTGTGCAGGTGCACAAGAAGCTGGGAGGGAGCACAGCCAGAGCAAGAGACTCAAACTGGCCCCTGGAATATTCCACACTGTATAATGTCATGCTCAGTATATAGATGAGGGTTGACTGGGAAGCTCAGTCTCACTTATGGGATTGTGGTTTCAGGATTCTCTCTTCTCTGGGATCACTAGCCAGGAACAGACTGGGCACTGGTCAGCAGGTGGTAAGCAATCACATTGTGCATTACTCATTTGTATTTTGTATTATTATCATTACTGCTTTAATTTTACTATATTTCCATTATTGTTTTTATCTCAAGCTACAAGTCTCCTTACCTTTGCCCCTCCAATTCTCTCCCCCATCTCCCGGGGTGGTGGAGGGTGAGCAAGCAGCTGCGTGGCATTTGGCTGCTGGCCATGACAGTCACCTTGCAGTTCTGGTAAGCATGGAAAGCAACACCGGTGACACTGATGCTTAATTGAAGTGTCATACAGGGAATTACGTATATGTCTGTCCTTGAGTAGTCCAAGTAAAACTACTCTCCTTAGCTTCCCCACCCTGACCTGGTTTCTCCAGCTCAAAAAGAAGGGAATATTTTAAAATCTGATTTAATCCCTTGAAGTCAACACCCAACCAAAACCAAACAATCTCTTGTGTGAAATCACATAAGAGATAACACATCTACTGTCATTCAAGGGCATACAATCTACTTCAAAGAAGGCTGACTTTACCAGAAGAAAGCCCATCTCATCCACATAATTATTTCCTCAGGGAAAATTAACACTGAACATTAAAAATCGCATTTAACACCCTGCAAGTCATTTCTGCAAGCATGTGACACCCTCAGGATCATCTATTCTAGGTGACATCCTCAAACCCTGCACAGTAAAGAAAGTGGATTGTTTTGCTTCAAATTATGACTTCCCTTTCAGCGAAGGGGATGGTTGGGGTGGAGGTTTGTTTTGCTTTGTTTTTAAAATATAGTATTTCTACCCCATCCTTTCATGATACTCAACTTCTGCAGACTCAAACATATGACCAGGCTGCTGCATGCCTACTGACTTACAGTGACTGCAGATTTACCACCTTTGCACTACTAATGCAGGATGGCCCGATTTTCTCCAATGTAGCTTGAGATCTGGACACCAAAGTTTGCTGTGCTATGTGCTTACTCAGAAAGGGAGCATTCTACTTGGCTGATATTCAGCCAAAGTGAGAGGCTATACGGCTGTTCAGATCCTGACCTACATTTACTCAGTTAAAGAGCAGAATCACAGAATATGTGCTCTGTTGACATGTAAACCACACAGTTTTAGGTAACCAAGTCCTCAACTAAATTCTAGCCTAAAGGGTATTGAGATCCACCATATCTGCCCTAGTAGTAAAAGGAACTTTCATTTCAAGGTACTACTCCTTTTGGCTTCTTGACCACTGACTTAAAAAAATCAGTCAAAGCTTCCTAGTGGCTATTATTTACCTTGCCCCTACCACTTTTGATAACAAATATAAGGTCTTGATGTAAAAGTCCTGAAATCATTTTGAAAGCTATTCAGTCCTTAATAGCTCTCTTCCTTTACTCTTCCCCTCTTATTTATAAAAAACCCCAAACACACAGAATATTAATACATTTCACTGTATTGTGACTCTGACTTCCTCTCATCTTGAGATTAAATGCAATTTCATATTTAAATGCAAACATTCTGGAGAGTATACTAGTATTTTAGACATGCAGAAAAGTGGCAGAATAGATTGACAATCTGAAGATTTAGAAGAAAACAAGGAAAATCTCTCGAAAGAAACACATATTCTACTTAAAAGATTCAAGGTACACAGGATAACTTAATCCATTCCCCCATATGAATAAATTAACCTATTACAAAGGATTACTTTAATATTGGCCTATTTTACTTGATTATATTGTACTTAACTGAAAATTGTGCTCTTCAAAAGAGACTGATTGCCAAATTCTTTAAGTACACAGGCAGTATTGTTCACAGAACCAAGGAAACTGGAAGTAAGATTTAGGACCAATATGGTATCTTCATAAGTCAGCTTTTAAGAAGAAGCTCTATTCCACTTCTGATTTAAAACTTGCCAGAAGACTGAAGCTATCTGACTGACCAAAGGCAGCAATCTAAATTTTTGCACTTGTCTGGAAAAAGGGCAAGCTACTTGACAGTTTACTGTAGAAGCATTTCTATATGTAGCATTAAGCAATACTTAAAGAAACACTAACTGCAAAGAGAAGCATACACAAACTCAGAATCAACACTGACATCACGTAATTGCTATTGCAGCAACTATGTCCTCAGTTAATCAGAGCTGAACGACTTTCTCCCACATTTGCAAACATCAGGGCTGCACTGCAGTCAGACGTGCAACTGCAGATCACACTCAAACTTAATGAGGAAGCAGCAGCAGCCAGAGGAGCCACTGCTACATGAATTTCAGAATAAGCTACTGAAGCCTTGCTACAAACACAAAGACTGTCTGGTGCATTTATACTTGCAAGAACCATTCCTCACACTGTATGCTCTGCAAGGCAGTTGGAACTGCTCTGTTTCTGTCATACATACTCACTAGCAAGATTTCCATGAAACATCTGTGATCTGCAACGCAGAACTGCTTTCTCCATCACACTCTTCAAAGAATGCCAACAAGACAGCATCAGTTACACTTACAAATTCTATTTATTTTGGCATAAGGGACATGCAAGCTGTTCAAACTAGCAACCCTCTAAGAGTAAGCAAGAGTAAGAACTGATCTTATTTATTCTCATGCTTACAGAAATTTTTTGCAACAGGAGATCAAGTTTCACGTATTTTCTGAGGCATTTTTTTCTGGGGTTAGATCAGTTTATTTTTGCAGCTTAAGGCTGAAATGCACAAAATACCCACCAAATGAAGAAACAACCCGAGTGAGTTTTAGGTCAGTAATATCCAACTGTGTTTGTATGGAAACTCTGGGCAGTTCCTGATCATGAAGAAAGTATTGTCAACACATTCATGAAAGATGGAGAATTCCTCTGCAGATGAGAAGACATCCAGATGCATGCCACTGAAATTCACTGATTTTAACAGCTCACTGACTAAATTAAGAGCTCGGGATCCTTCTGCAATTAGTGAAAAGAGATAGGAACCTTCAAAGGTTGATCCACAAGGCTCCTAGTGATTTCCCAGGGTGACCTGAATTTAGTGATGTAAAGCAGGATTCAATTACGTACTTTGAGTCCCATGTCATTTATCCTTTCTTTCTGAATGAAAACTGATTCCTAGTATAAGCATCATCAAGTAGAGATCTTGAAGTGTGCCAGGCACATAAGAGACTTTTCAAAGTGCTGTACTAGTTCATGCAACATCTACTTTCACCTTCATCACTGCATTGCAACTTTATCAGTCATTTATTCATACAAGGTAGTTTAGCTACAATGTCTTTAAAGAACTGGAAAGACAAACTCAGGCATATATACATACATGCTCTACAACATCAGAGTTGAGATGAGACCCGGGCTCAGAACCCAATCTTAAAAGCAGTGATGTAGCTCAGATTAGGCCTCCAACTTACCACATTTTTAAAGTCATCCTCTGCTTCATCAAATTTTCCCTGCTTGAGCAGTAAGTGTCCTCTCTGTAATCTTGCCTGAAATGAAAGAGAATTTATTTTGATTTAGAAATTGGAATTCAGCAAAGTAAAAACACAAGCCTCAGTTTTCTTTAGTAGGGAAAAAAGAAAAGAGTTTCCTTTTACTACAGCTACCAAGCTGAAACAGAGATCACAACACCCGTTCTTTGTCTTCTCAGTTTGACAATGTTCTTATGAGGCCTCTTTGATGGTAAAGGATCACTCTGCACCAGAACTGAGGGACAAAAAGCAGTCACAGTTTTTATGAGTGGCTGCAATTCATGGAAAGAATTCATTTGAAGAGCTGCACAAAACAAAGCGAATGTTTACCTTGCATCACTTTCCTGATTAGAACTGCTTATAGGTTACATTAGAACTGCTTATAGGAAATTAGTAGAAATAAACAAAACCCAATTCCTACATTTAATTCTTCCACTAAACTTTCAGAATAATAGAAGCTGTGTAAAAAGACAAGTTAATGATTTAGAAGATTTTGATTTGTTGTAAGAATTTTTTCATGCATCAATTTAACATTTCCTCATTCATTGTAAATTACACAGGACATGCCACTGTCCATGGAAAAAGGAGATGAGAGAGTCAGATGAAGAGGACTCCAGCATCAGTCTCCAACTAGCGGGACAGTCTCCACATACAGTACGTGGAAGTGAGGAAGGGGCAAGTAAATCAGAACTTGCAACAACCCCATAGGAAGCCAGTGAGATTAGGACAACTCCTGTGGAGAGGAGATGCCTCAAATCAAATGCTGATTAAGACAGAAGAAAACCAGTGGCATCTGTGCGCTCTTCCCCGGAGGGCATACATAGCCTTGGTGACTAAGAAGATAATAACCAGAAGTGAGAGAAGGAAAGTGTTTAGCATAAATCCATGAGGAACATGAACTTAAAACTACTATTAGTTGTTAGAATAACTGGCTAGACTGTATTCAACATAGTTGCAAATTCAAGCCCATACACCACTGCTATTATTTTATCCTATTTAAAGCCTTTCGAGTGATAACGTATTTCCTATTTCTGTTTAGCACAATCTGAAAAAAAAAAACAGCCTTCTTCAAAGCAGGGGTTTTCTACGCTTGAACAATTTTCAATTCCAGTAATACTTACTGATGTGAAGTCCTGTTTCAATTCAACCACTTTACTTAAATCACGAATTGCTGCTTTAGATTTGCCCATGGCCAAGTACACTGTGGCTCTTCTGTAATAAGCAATGTAGTTATCAGAGTCTCCCTCTGCAAGTGAATGAAGAGTAATCAGAATGCTATCTCAAAACAACTGAAACTTTGGGTACAGTGAAACTGTAATGACTAAAAATACATTATCTGACTTTTAAGCCACTGGAAAAAATGGTATTTATCAATAAAACGTAACATTTGTAATATTATCCAAGAAGTATTTTCTACACAGTTTGATTATTTAACAATAAAGACTACAGAAACACAGTAAATGTCCAATAATTAAGAGTACTGAAGAGGATATATGTACATGTTTTTCAGCTTTCAGTGTTTGTACAGGAAAACAGATACTACATACTAAACCTTTATCTCCAACTGCAGACCTACATTTGAAAGCATGTTAATTCATCATTCTCCATCCCAGTCGCTGTCTAGCATCTAGGATGCAAGTCTATCATCTAGGATGCAAGCAAATAACCCACAAATGACCAATGTATTAGTCCAATGTTGTCAGAGACACATAAATGCTTTACATCATCCATTGAAATAGCAGCAACTTCTTTCTTTAATATTAAAGTGGGCACCAGCACCCCCTCTCAACAGCAGACAAATGCATGTACATTATCAAAACCTGAAGGCTAACTTCAAGGTTCACACATTCCATTTTGTCTGCTGGTTAAAATTCCAAGATTCAAGAATTTTAACATTCTCTAGGCTAGCACATATATGTGCAGCCTTACAGGAAGCAAATGTCAGTCTCTGAAACCAAGAATTTTCTTAATATTCTTCTCTGTGCAGTGTTTCAAAGAAAAAGGTGACAGTTACCATGGGCTCTCAAGGAAAGGTAACTTAGACCACCCAGACAACAATATGCAGTAGAAACCAGTAAATTTTTTACTGTGCTATTAAAAAAAAAAAAATGATCAATCCAGAATTTGTAGAAAAGATGAACAAAAGTATTTCTCTTCCTCACCTCACTTGAGGTTAAAATTGAACTTTAAAATAAATGGAAAAAATGGCATTGACAAACATTTTATGGTCAGTAACCGAGCTTCATAACTGGCCACCTCCATCACCAAAACAACAGTTCAGTTCTCACTGACAAAGGTATCTGCACCCTTCCTCTACAATGCCTTGGCTGTGGAAATGCTGATGTCCAGCACTGAAATTTAATAACAACTCCCATGCTATATGCCATGTAATATGACAGCATTATGGACATCAAGTAAATTCAAATGTTACTAACTTTAAAAAAAGGAAGTATTAAGTCCTACTGTATACAACTAAACATGTAGAGTAGGCACACATCAATAGCTGAAATTAAAGAACTTTATTAATACACAAAGGATGAAAGATAGGAAATATCTAACCTAGAAAGCACATTCCAGCACCAGATGTTGATCTTTCTGTCAGAATATGGTTTTGCCTCAGTTCCCCAGTAACAATAACGAACAGCAACTGACATTTACCCAAAGAGAAGGCATAAACCATCAGCTTGATGAGATTGAGGAAAGAGCTGAAAATTTAACTGAAGAGAGAAAATGGACAGTAGCTTTCCTCTACTTTAGGTGTTTGCAAAAAAAGAAAAATAGGCTGGCTGAGGCAAGGCAAAAAGATCTATTTACCTCATGCAGTCTACAATGATGCAGTGCAAGCAAGAAATTATTAGAGAAATTTCCTCTCCCCTCCTCTATGAACACTGTAGGCAAATCATGCTTAAAATCTTTTCAAAAAGGCAAAATACAAAGAAGAAAGAGAAATCTGATGAAAGTTTAGGCAATCAGGCTCAAATCAACATCCAACTAAGAATCCCATCAAGGTCACAAGAGGTGGTCACACCATAATTCTAACCACCTGCTTGAGCACTGCTGGCAAAGCAGAGGGGTTTCACCCCACGCAGGCACCTCACTCCCTGCTCATCCCTACCCACACCCCTGCTGCCTTTGCACCACCACCAGCATTTGCAGAGTCACAGACTGAACTGGCCTTTCCACCAGAGCCAAGTTTAAAGCTTGCCAAACAGCAATAAAGGAATAAACCATGCTGTAATACTAACTCTGCTCAGATCCCTCAGGGGTGCTTTGGCAGCGACACACAAGTCAAAAGGAGTAACAGACCACATCTTGGCAGAATGAGGAGCTTCCACAGCACAGAAAAAGAGGAAGCTTCCCCCCTCCCCTCCCTTTATATAAGGGAAGTTGATCTAAGAAAACTCACAGAAAATTTTAATAACCCAGAATCAGCAGATATTTCATTTACATATCATTATTAGACAAAGGCACAGAGAAGTCTAAATAGTATGATTCATTAACGTGTAACACAAAATGATGCACTTGTGCACATTATAGCAAAGTCCAGCAACCTAAAAAATAAAAAAACCCTACGCAGCTGAGAAATTGTAGTGTTAATGGACTGCTCCTTCCTGGTGCTGTCTCTACACTTCAACTAAAGGATTTTAACCAGCAAAGCTGCTTTAAAATTTACAGAAGCAAACATTTAACTCCTTGGTTTGTTGAAAATGTAGAACATCAAAACAAGAACTCAAACACTAGTCGAGTATAAGAGAGTTCAGTATCAGTTCAGTATCTCAAACTTATAGCATCAGTTTCACTGAAGCATCAACCACTTCAAGTTTTAATTAACAAAACAAAAAAAAGATACTATTTTAAACACTGAATTCTTTACAGTGCTGGAGAGAAGAAAGTATAGATAAACCTTTCAAAGACATACTTGAAAAAACTTCATAAAGATGAAACCTAATCTTGCTGGGATTAGATACAGGCAATACCTCAAACGGTACCAACCATAATTGCTTTCATACAGCTAGCTTGCAGAACAGCAGTGACTTAGTGTTTGTTCATCTATCATGTAGTTAATTGAAGAGTTTCTTTTATCAAAACCAAGACAGAAATATTCTACTGCATCTTTGTTGGCTCCTGTCCAAATTGCTGTATAGACGCCCCACCTTCTGTGACTCATGAAATGCAATTTGCAAGACAGTAAGATACTTAATGAAGCAAAGAGTAGTTAAGAAAAATCTACCCAAAGGTATTTCAATGCAAGAGTCACTTTCCTGAGATACGTACCTATAGCTGCATGAAAGTGAGACAAAGCATCTGCTAGCTGTCCAGCAGCCAATAACTTCTTTCCCATTTCAAGTTGTTTTTCTACTTCTGCATTTATTCCACATTCAGCTCCTTAAAGAAAAACAAAAAGATCAAGGTTTTGAATGACCAGTTTGATTATACCAAATGCATTATGCTGGGTTTGTGTGTGGTGGGGTTTTTGGTAGCTGGGGAGGGGGCTACAGCAGTGGCCTCTGTGAGAAACTTCTCAAAAGCTCCCCTGGCTCCAAGTCAGACCCACCTCTGGCCAAGGCCAAACAAATTAGTGATGGTGGCTACACCTCTGCAAGAATGTATTTAAGAAGGGGAACCTTGGAGGAGGAGTGGGAGTTGTAAGGAGGAATTATGAGGACACCTATGTGAACACCCAGGAAGGGAGGAGGGGAAGGAAGGGAGGGAGGTATGCCAGAGCAGAGCCCCCCTGCAACCCATGGTGAGACGGCAGGGCCACCCCCCTGCCACCCATGGAGATCCATGGTGGAGCAGAGGGCGACCTGAAGCCTGTGGAGGAGCCCACCCCAGACAGGCGTCTGTGCTTAAAGGAAGCCAGGACTCTGAAGGGAGAAGCAGCCCCCGCTGCTGTATTTCAGCACTGAGAGCATGAAACACACAGGGTGACCCACAGTGGAGCATCTCAGGAATGGCTTCATCCTGTGGGAGGGACTCACACCAGAGAATGTTCATGGATGAGTATCTCCGGTGAGAGGGGAGCCACGTGAAGCAAGGGAAGAATGTGTGGAGTTTCCCTCCCCCCAAGAAGGACAAAGCAGCAGCACTGACCACAGCCCCCACCCGCTGCCCCTCTGTGCAGCTCAGGGGGAGGAGGTAGAGAGATCAGAGCAGAGCTCAGCAGGGGAAAAAAGGAAGAGGGGGGAGGTGTTTTGGGGATGTGTTGGAGCTTCTCACTGTCCCACTCCATCTCTTAAGTGTTGTTTTTGTTAGAGTTTCAATTAAAGTGATATTCTTTTTTTCTTCCCCTAATGAGTCTGTTTCACCCCACTCCGCCGCCCTTGACTGTAATGGGTGAGTCACTCCTCCCTGTCCATATCTGGATTCCTAAGCCATTTTGCTCCATTTTCTACTTCCCAGTGCTGTGGGGGAAGCGAGCAGCTGTGTGGTGTTCAGTTGCCCTCTGAGCACAAACCACAACACGCGTACAGTGATAATATAACAAAGTTATCGACACAGAGGCAGAAGTCACATCTTCCCCTTCTAAAATAACCTGCAGCCTAATTAACACGTAGCACGTCTTCCCTGTCCCAAAAAGGATGTTAAAGTAAATAGATAAACACCGTGAAGCACCACATTGTGAGAAAGCACAAATTATGCATTTCTATTCCTGTCTATACATTCAGTAACATACTTTTGCACATCAAGCTTTATACATCAACTATAAAAACCGCTTAACAAAATACATTTCTTCGTGGGCTTTCGATTTCAAAAGCAACTGGAAAAACAACTCATAATGCACACATGGCAAATATAAAAAGGCTTTAAGTTAAAATTTCATGACCCTACTGGTAATTTAGGAATCAACTGAGAACTGTTAGCTACTTCAGAGACTGGCTTCTCATCTACTGCACTTTTGTCTCATCTTTATTAATTCCAAGGCAAACTGTTTCCAGAGCACAAGTTTTGATATAAACAATTAAAACTCTCACTTCCTTTTCATTTAACCGGTAGTATGAAAATCATTCTGAAGTGGTATGTTTTCAAGGAGCCAGTTTTAATTTAAAGCTAATAAATTGCTGCTGCTCAACCAACAGGGTAAGACTATTGTTGAGAAGAAATGAGCAGCTGAATGCAAGTACATACTGTACCATACATTAATTCAGCTACCACAGAGGTTTTTCATTTGTACTGCTTCCAGCATTCTTCAAATCAGGACAGAATTTCACCACGACTTACCAGTTTATGTCTATTAAAACTTCCATACTATAAACAGTTTTCTAAGAGCATGCCCTATGCATAAATTCAAGCAAGGTTATATATTAAAATACCAAATAAATACCTTTCATTAGAAAAGAATGAACTACAATTACTAGGAATCAGTTTCTTTCACTCAGGTTTTGCATCAACCTAATTCAGATAGGCACTTGAATTAATCCTTAATACAAAATGCAGCAGCACTTCAAAGCTGTTTCTTAGTCTGAATAAAAATGTTACAGTACACAGATTGAAGTACACCAAAACTTCTCACACTGAAAGGTGATTAAAACAGAGTATTTGTAATGAAAGAACAGTAATTTCTGATCACCAAGTCATCACAATTTTAGAACTAGGAGCTCTCAGCACCTCGGATCATAATTTAATTTTCCTTCCCTACTCCTTAATACAGCTCATAATTATTTTAATTCCACATTATAAAAAAAAAAATAATTGAGCTGTCTATACTAAAATGAACAAAATGCCCTCTGTATCGAAACCGGATCCAAGGGCTCCAATTCAATTATTTGCTTTAGAACAATGACAGCAAACAAATTCCTTTTTTCATTAATGGAAGTTACTTTATAAAATAAGCCCCAAATTTCCAGTCAATTTTTTTTTTTGTTTAAATAGACAAAGTTAAAATAGTAGTTACTTATCATATAATCAATTTGGGGATCGTATTAAATGATACAGCTTAAAATCCCAAGCTCTGAATAAAATATAAATAGCTTCTCTGATATTGGAGAACTATTTCCTGGCAGCAATTTTTTCTCACACAGTGTTCTATTTCAAGGTAGCTTTTATGTGAATGTCCAATTTTCAGAAAAATTATGATCAAAGCTTTAAGCTAGAGAATTAAAATGGCAAAGAATGTCCGATTAGTTCAATGTCCTCTAAAATGGCAAAGCAAGCATTAGAGAAAAAAAAAAAAAAAAAAACCACAACAAAAAAAGCAAAACAAAACCAGAAAACAAACCTACCACTAATTTCCCTGGCTTTGGAAGTATACTAGCAACAAATCAGGTATCAAGCCATAAACAGGCTGAAGTATTTAACATCAGCTGAAAAACAAAAATTTCTTAATCTTCACCCCTCCTGTCTCTCCCCACACAGGAATATTGGAAATCTTTCAAAACTTGTCTGTTTGGAGTGGTATCCTAGAAGTGGGCTGTAAATTACTCTTTGATGAACCTTCTATCCACCCGAACATGGTATTCAATTTTCAGTCTCAAGCATCTAAAGGAGTGTCCTTGTTTCACATTTAGTTACACCAGGATAGCTGCGAAAATAGATTTTCCACAGTAAGATGCACCAATACAATTCAGCATCTTTCATACATGTTATGTTCAGTATAGTTTTACAGTTACATGACACTTTAGGCAGGAGAGCCATCTTTTTCCTTGAAATACTGAAGATAATAGACAAAGGAAATGCAAAAGGTGACTATTAATAGTAAACAGATAGGTAATAAAAGCAGGAGCAACATGGAGAGAGAAATAAGACAAACTGAAAGACTGTAGGTTCCCTGTAGAACAAGGCTAATTATACTAGTCATACATCAAAACTTGGCTCTGCAAGTTGCTGAACATGATAAATTGATGTGGGAATCTCCAGAAGTAGCCTATATAGTCAGTGTAATCGTGATGAAAAGTGACATTTCCCATAACTACTCAGGAACACTGTACACTGACCTGAGAGTTGAGCTGTTTATTCATATAAATCTATTACTTATTCATTTTCTGGCTGTAGGCAATTTCTCTAAATAAAACACACCACAGTAGACATTTGAAAACTGTTAACATAGGCACAGGAGTACAAGAACTCAAATTCTGTGTAACCTATTTGGGTACCTATTCACTCTTTGGTCTGGGAATGAACATAAAGACTCAAGTTCAACTGGAGGAAAAAAAACAAACCAACCCCACAAAGCTGTTTCCAACAGCTAGACAGTCATTACTGAGCTGGATAGCAAGGGCCAAGCACTACAGCTGAAAAAGCTTTGTATGCCCCAGCAATAAACTAAATTTAAGTGAAAGATATGCACACATATTACTTATATTTTAAACTTCCAAGTATTTTAATATTATTTCTAAAACCTGCCTAATTCTTATCTATTTACCAAGGACCTCAGACAACCACACACAAGAGCCCTGGCTGTCAAATCAAGTCAGATACTCTGGATAAACTCAGAGTCTGTAGCCCTGGCACGGATGCAAGAATGCAAGAGTCAAAAAAAACACCCAAACAAACAAAAAACTCCAAACTACTTCCAGATAAGAACTGGTAACAGCCCTGACAACTCAAAGGAAGTCAGTCAGGTGGCACAGGGAAGATAAGCAGGTGCAGCTACCCTGTTTTTCTAGCTAAATACACTCATTTCAAATAAATTATAACTTCCTGGTATGATTTTTGTTTTATTAGAATAACTGGTGCTAGTATGTGGGTACCTAAGCATATAAACTTCAACTATACCCTCATACAATCAGCCATATCCACAGTGTAAAAAGCTTAAGAAAGCCCTCAAATGTGAAAACAGTTTCAAGATTTTACATTTGCCTACACACTCCACTTTTTCCCCTGTAGAATTTCCACCTACCTTTACCTTTTTTTTTTTTTAATCTTGTCCCCAAACTGAGCAATGGAACTATGAATATAAACAGAATTAGTTCCAACTGTGTACCAGAAACAGAATGTTTGAAAGACAAAGAAGAAACATGTGTCACTAGTCTTAATATTTTTTTTTTGTTTGGTTGGGTTTTTTTGTTGCACAAAAGAGCTTGAAGATTGTCTTGTCACATGAGTGGGAGATCCTGCTTTTGGGGCATGTTTTTATTAGAACGACACTGTGTTTAGTATAATGAGTCTTAAGTTTGCTGTTATTTTTAAACAGGTTTGGGTTTTGCTTTTATGTGTGTTTGCAAGTGTGCTTTTCAAGAACAAGACTGAACGAAGTAAGAGGTAGGCAAGCAACCATAGTTTCAGGAACAATACGAAAAGGCTTTCAAGGAGCCTCAAAGCATCCAGCTGAGCCACGTGTAACTTCCACCCACCAAGTTTTTATTTCATCCCCTTTGCAAAGAAGGTTGTTAACTAGAGCTAAGACTGGCAAACAAAAAAGTCACTCTCCTCATCCCCAAGTATCCTTTGCTATTTGGGGCGAGAAAAAACCCCTCCCCAACTCAGGACAGAAACATACGGTGTGGGGGTGAGTAGTGGCCTGGCAATAACAAACAGCTCCACATACTCAAAGCCTGTTTCTTCTTCCACTTATTACATTTCCTTTCTTTTAATACTAGGAAGGAGAGAGGGAAGAGGAACAATACTCCTCAATCCTCCTCCCTTGACTCTTTTTGTTTCAATTAGTGTAGACAAGCAGCCATAAAGGATGAATCTTCCCAAGAGGTGATTTGGGTCAAATGGGAGCTTATTCAGCACAAATCGAGGGGTATTTGAAGAGGTGGAATTCAGGAAACACAACAGTAAGGGCTGAACTGCAACCTGCCACATCATCAAGCATTCAAAAACCTTTTTACTGAACTCATTTATCAGCCAGATATAAATTAGTATCTATAGATATCAACTGCGAGATATAAAAGTAATGCAGGCTGACTGTTCCACTGATTCATGAATCAGATGGCACAAGTCAGACATCTATAATCAAGACAGTGAGATGCAAATTTAAATGTGAATATGAACACTTCTGAGTTCAAATATCAGCAATATTGGGGGAAAAAAAAAATCCAGATACTTAAATAATGTAAACCCCCTAAATTCCCTAACTACATACTCTGGAAAATGAACTCATGAACCAAGAGGTTAGTAAGTTCAGCAAATAAGATCCAGAACCATCACTTTTCATTCTATTACTGTACAGTACATCCTTATTAACTGAAGTTAAGAAAAATATACTCTAGATTAGGAAATGTGGCTTTGGTAAGTCTGCATAGCCATTAAACCACATACTTGAAATAGTCTGGCAATGCCAAATAAAGAATCCTAAGCAGGAACATCGCTGCCACAACCTTAAGGGGAAAAAAAATATATATATTTTGACCACAGTTATTATTATTTTCCCTCTAACGCTACCAGAATACATATCCAAAAAAAGTAATCCAACACCACAGTATGCAGTCTCACACTACAGAGCATTTTTGCTACAGTATGTTCCTGTTGCCACTTGACCAGCTGAAGTATTCATTAGTTTAGTACATCAACCGAATTTCTAGTGACAAGCCCAGGTCAGTCTTAAGTCCACAGACTTATTCTGACTATTGACAGCTTCAGTTCTACTTCAATCTGCCATTGCCAGTTAAAGAATGTTTCTCAGGTGAAACCCCATGTGTGCAATTGTATAACCAGGTTATAAATTTAACAGGAGCCTGTGAATAAAAGTTCGACCGCACAGGTGCTGCTGACAGCGCCCTCTGAAAGTAAACAGGCTGCACAAAGTGCAGATAAACCTCCCTGTTGAACTTTAAATACTAATAGTGAGAAAAAACAAAACAAAACAAACCCCACAACAACAGAACAAAAACAAACAAATTCAACACCACTGTCAAAAGCCTCAGTGAATTTGTAGGTCTGGCACTAATACTGGCTGTGGCTGAGGAGGGCCACTGAAAAAGCCTCTGAACTTGGGAACTGCACAAAATTCATATAGAAGTGAGAACTTCAATTGGCCAGCACGGAACCGGCCAAGGCTGTCACACAGCTGCACTCGAGGACACCACGACATTTTCAGGAGCTCGCAGCAGCTGGCAGCCTATCAGCAAGCCAAGGAAAAGGAAGCACACGCCGAGCTGCCTTAAACAGCACCGCCAGCAACTCCAAATAAAACCACCCTGGTTACAAGCAGGGACGGTGCCCTCATTACACCACGCTCCGCAACAAGCCTCGATGAGGTGGCAGCTCCGCACCTCCTTTTTCCTCACACCCTTTCCAGAAACCCCGCCCGCTCCGGCCGTCCCGCGGGGGCTGCGCCCCGCCGCCGTGCCCACCCGGCCCCACGCACCGTGCGGCTCAGGCCCCGCCGGCTACCCACGGACAGGCCGCGGCCCCGCCGGCTCCGCTCCGCTCCCCCCACCAGCACCGGCCCGGGTGGGCACTCCCCACCACCCCCAACCAGCGCGACCGGCGACGGGAGCCCCGAAGGAGGGTGAGGGCGACCAGCCACCGGCGGCTCCCCCCGGCCCAGCAGGGAGCCCCGCCTCAGCCTCGCTTACCCCACGCCCCGGAGCGAAGCGGCGGCCGCCCCTACCGCCGCCCGCCCGCCCGGCGGGCCGCAGGCCCCCTCACGAAACCCGCGGCCCCTCACCCTGGTACTGCAGGTCGAAGAGCACGAGCAGGAAGGGCAGCGCGGAGCCCAGGCGGCCGGCGGAGGCCGCGGGAGACACCATCTCCGCCGCCCCACACGCCCGCGGCGGCGGCGCCCCGGGCCCGACGGCTCCACAACTTCTCCGGGGTGGGTCGTGGGCGACGCTGATTGGCCGCGCCGCGCGCCCGCCCGCCCACTCGCGCTCGACCGAACGTGGGGGAACGGCGTAAGGGCGCCCGGCCGCGCGACGCGGGGCCACGCCTAAGCGAGTGGGAACGGAGTGGGGGGGAGAGGGGGCAGAGACGCGGTTCTACGCCTGCGCGGTAGGGAGGTGGGGCGCCACCGAGCTTGCGCGAAAGGACGGGTCCACCCGCCCCGCCCCCCGCGCATGCGCAGGAAGGCGGAGCGACGCCACGCCGCGGAGCGGGGTGCCCTCAGTAGAAATGGCGGCGGGAGCGTAGGGTCCCCGCGCCATCCAGCAGAACGATAAACCCTGAGTGTCCCCACCTGGGGCTGGGGTTTATCTCGTCTCTTTTTGCCGTCCCCGCTAAAACCACAGCCGGACGTCTCCTGAGGCGAGCGGGGCTTCGCTGCGGGCGCGGTTTTAGCCCATCTGAGGGCGCGCTGCGGGTGCTGGCAGGCCTGACGAGGGAAGGACGCCGGCTGCTTGCCCCGGGGTCAAACGGCTGGCTTCGGGGCTAATGGAGCGAGTTTAACACTCTCGATATAAAGGGCCACCTTTCAGGGTGTGATGGTGTTACCCTTCATTCTTCAAAGACAGTATCTCTGGAGGAGTAAAATTGTTGAAAAATTTTGTAGTAGGTCACAAGTAAATGGATCCTGATTCTTCATCGCTGTGTCTGATCTAGTCCTAGAGCAGAGGATAGGAAGGGTGATTTCAAACAATGCTTAACTGTCCCTGGAACACAATCCTGTTTTCCACTGAAAGCCAAGTCAAGATAGTCTGTAGTAGAATTTCTGACAGCAAATGGCCACGACATTTTGTTGCAAGGTTTGGACAATCCAGGCCTGAGATCAGACTGCTAACAACACCTGTGTTACGAGGATGACCTTGAAGGGCTGTGTTGTGAGGAACTGTATCTGTTAATGAGGAATTTTCTCAGCTATGTATCTGGCTAAGCTAAGCACAAGTATACAGCAAACAGCACGATGCTTGCCTATCACAGTTTCCCTTTGGGTGTGTGATAAGTTGCTTATGACCAATAATCAAGGGGTATGGGGCGCGTGAACAGCGGGTGCTTGCTGTGCAAAGGATATAACCAAGCGATTTGGGCAATAGAGGGGGACGACATGTAGCCGCATCGGGGTGATTGTCGTTACTCGGGCCACTCTCCGTATTGGGAACCTCTTCAATAGTCAGCATGGCCTTAGCTGTATGCTGGCTCCCAGGCATGCCAAAAAAGTATTAAGGGATTTACCAGATGGCAGAAAACTTAGTGAAATGACTTAACAGAGGACAGTATTTTCATGTTAAAAGTTTGTGTTGGATCTGTAAACTGAAAGCAAAGCCTATGTAAGCCTGCAATGTGCATATTTGGAGATCTCTTTTCCTTTTTTTATAATGAAAATCCAATCTATTCTTAGCTACCACAGAAAAACTAATCTTGTGTGTGCCTAGCTCGCTGTTTCAAATTACTTGCCTAGTGTTGGATAAAACAATTCATATTAGGGGTGTATTACATTTTATACCCTTTCAATGCAAAAAAAAAAAAAAAAAGTTCTCAGGGAAAATCCGAGACAGTAAAAAACTTGAGGATTGAAGCCTGATTTGGCAACCACAGAAATGTTGTTTTTTTTTTTTATTCTGCAGGTACAGTCATATTACTTTTCTCACCCTAGATGATATAATTTACAAGCTTTCTTGAAAGATTAGTCTGGAATAAAGAACAGTTATCCCTCTTCAATGTTTCTCTTGGAAGATGATGCTTCAAAGGTATCACCTTGGAATTTGACCTGCGGAAAACATTCAGAAATAAGAACTTGAAATAATAAAAGAAGTAATAGATGTGAAATGAATAATTGATGACATTCTAAAGATGTCAGCATGAGAAAGAACATGACAACTCTATAGCACTATGGATAAGACAAAATATGAAAGCCTAAAACTGAACTGAGCAGAATGCAATCAGTGTTACAGTAAATTAATTCCTTTGATTTACCTGAGAAAAAAAAAGTATTAGACCAAAGCCAGATAAAATGAATATGAAAGGGGAATTTACATCTACAGCCCCCTAAGATAACTGAAAATAATGCTACAGATGATTATATACTTAATGGACCCTTAATAACAAGATGAGGAGAGAACTATCTGAAGAAAACGCATTACTTCTGTCATGGTTTGAACCCAGTCAGCAGCCAAACACCCCGCAGCTGCTTGCCCACCCTCCCCCACCTGGGAATGGGGGAGGGAATTGCAGGGGTAAAGGGAGACTCGCAGGTTGAGGTAAAAACAGTTTAATAATTGTAATAAAATAAGTTAATAATAGAAAGTACAGACGGGCAATGCACAATGCGACTGTTCACCACCCGGTGACTGATACCCGGCTCATTCCCGGGTAGCGATCCCGAAATACCAAGATCCCACAATCTCAATCCCGGAAGCAAGAGAGAGAGAACTCCCCGCTGCCCCCCCTCTATATACTGAGCATGACGTTACATGATATGGAATATTTCATTGGTCAGTTTGGGTCTGGTGATCTGGCCCTTTTCCAGCTTCTTATGCACCTGCACACGGGCAGGACATGGGAACTTGGAGAGTCCTTGATCTCTCAGCAGCAACTGAAAACATCGGTGTGTTATAATGTCATTCTCCTCATACCAAATCCCATACCGAATCCAAACCACAGCACTATTCTAGCTACTAAGAAGAAACTAACTCTATTCCAGCCCAAACCAGGACAACCTCATACTGGAATACCAAGCATAAAGGTTCAAGCATCAAATCCCTTAAAGCAAGATGAAACTAGTATGATTAAAGCATCAAGTATCATTTTGAGTAGACACTTGACAAGCCCTTGGTTCTTGACATTGGCCCTGAAATACTAAGCCAAGGTCAGTATTTCAGGCTGACACAGTAATATGGAGAACCGTGTATATTGCCAACACCACAAAATTACCTGCTCAAAGAGACAGCATTTATCATTGTCAGTCTGTGCTAGAAATGCCACCAGGTACACAGAATTACACAGTAATTCTTGAAAGAGACCGTAAACCGTTAAGGATCATTCTTGATTATCATAGATCTCCAAACATATATTATTTAGAGATTAGTATAAACCTGGGAGAAAAAGTTCTTTAACACATACTCCCTTGTGCAATTTCAGAAGCAGAAGAGGAGAAAGACTTGAAAGGACAAACACACATGACATGCCCAACATCATATTTAGGAATTTGAAAAATAGCAAATAAATACAGCTGTAATGCAAAAATTCTTTCAAATTAATTCATCAAATTAAACTGGTATCAGAAACATGTTTCTTCAGCAGTCTTGAGTTTTGGAATGAAAAGGTGGATATCAAAGTCTACACTAATGTTCAAAGCGCTCAAGAGTAGACTAAGCAATGGTCTGAGTTACTGCCGGTTATATATATAGTAACAGCAGAGGGCGGCAATTAGCAAGAAATGACTCTTGAAGCTACTCATTGCTTCTAACGGAGACGCTGAACTGAGTATGGTGACATATGGTGGAGATAATTAATTCTGTAGTTTCTATTTATTAACTGAGAAACCTTCTGAGATACAATACAGTAAGATGTCTGGATTAGATATTGGAAACACACAGGGTCCTACAAGGACCCTGGTATGTTTGGCAATACATTTTAATTAATGATTCCAAAACCACCCAAACAAAAGTTTCCTGATACACGAAAAGAAGTGATATAACAGAATCTTATGTTGCATGCACAGTCTAGTATGAAAATAAAGGAGGAGGCAAGAGAGGATGATGACACAGAGATACTATTCTCAGGGCTTCTTCCAAGAGGTCTGTCAGACCTTACACCTTGTTTTTATTCTGACCTATGTACATGCTATCAGAAACTTTGCTGTGTTGGAGCCAAATGAAATAGTAGTCTGGTATTTATACTCCAAAATTAAAATCAAAAACTTTGCTTCAGATATTAAAATATTGTTGTATTTCTGAAATAAAGTATTCTGTTTTGAAAATACATGGAAAATTTTTACATTAATGAACTCTCCACTTTTTTTGATTGAAGCAATTTATGAAATTCAGCCTATTTTCATAACTAGTTTTGATTTCCCTGAAACTTTTTTTTGTTTACCTATCATTTACTACAGATACTTTTCTCAGCTCAACTCTGAGTTTCAAATCTAGATGATAACTCCAAGCTGATTGTTTCTCTCAAACTTCTTTTTGATTTTAAAAACTGAAAAATTTGTCATTGACAAAGTACTGTGCCATCACTGAAGGTGTTTGTTCCTATCGTACATCCTGCCAAAGCACCAAGGTCTGCAAAGCTCACACTTCTGAGAATTAAGATTATGAAGGTAGAGTATGTATGTGTGCAACCGTACCTCTGCCTGTTCCAGCAGACACCTCCATACTCTTCCTCCCTATGAAGTGGGAGTTTTCTGTATCTCTCAGCAATTATTCAAACCATTCAGCAACAGAATACTCCTCATGCACATTTTTACAAACACGTAAGCCATAGGCATGGGATGCCATATAACATCCTCTTTTATACACCCCCATCTGAATCAACAGATTTCATTTATCCTCTAGCTGCTAACAGTCCAAAAAGGCAACAAAATTCACCTTGCTGATGCAACAATGATGGCCTGAAGAAATGAGGCATCCTGCATCTCTCTTATGACCAGATATCCAGAGGCCAAGTAGAGATCTTCTATGTATATACATTGCCTCTTCTCACAGGTTTGCTCCAGCTAATCCTTTTTGCCATTCAGTACATCAATCTGCGAGCAAGTGCAACTCAAAGGAGATGAAAAAGAGCTTGTGTACATCCCGCAGAGTGGCCAGCATGTTGATTAACTGTTCATTTCCTTCTTTTCAGAAATTAGAATTTTGCTTAACCTGGGACTCTGAAAAGTCCTGAAGCGGCACGAAATCCTAAGGCATGCCCTTAAATTGTGAGTATCAGGATTGACAATGTTTGGAAAAAAAAAAAGGAAAGGGGAAATAGATTGCCCATGTATACTTTATGACCAAGGTTCTGAGGGATGGTGGTTCATTTTCCTTTTTCATACAGTTTATTTCTTGCCCACAACATGATTGTGTCCCAGACAGTGTA